AAATTCAGCAGGAAAAGTTGGACCACTTACTTCTTCTAATCTCCTTGAAGGCTTAAGATAAAAATGACACAGTCCTCAGTTACTCCTGTTTCCTGCCGTGAGATCTATAAATAAAGGATTGGATACAAATGTACTAAATACATCTGTATATTTTTTTTTCTGTGTCAAGCAATGAGCTTTTAGTCATCTTCTTTGGGAATAAACAAATGGGGAAAAATATTTAAGAGTTATCAATGAAACACTGTGAATATTCTTAGCCAATGCTGGAGGTTTTTCCAACTCTTATGCAAGGCATTCTACAATTGGTAGAGATTTTTTTTTTCTTGGGCTAGTTCATAGAAAAGTGAAGTTCGAAGGGGCCTGCAAGAACTACCTGCTCAGTGCAGGATTACACTCAAAGCATATCTGCCAGGTGATTATCTAAGTTTCTCTTAAATGCCTCAAGTGTTGGAGCACTCACCAACTCCTGAGGTAACTGGTTCCACTGTTGTACTGCTCTAACAATTAGGAGTTTTTTCCTGATATTCAACCAAAATCTGGCTTTCTTTAACTTGAGCCCATTGTTGTGTGTCCTGCACTCTGGGATGATCGAGAACAGATCTTGCCCCTTCTTTGTATGGCAGCCTTTCAAATATTTGAAAAGTGCTATCATATCACCCCTCAGTCTTCTTTTCTCAAGGATAAACATGCCCAATTCTTTCAGCCTTTCCTCATAGTTAAATCATATTTCATAATTATGATGGCTGTTTTCCTAGTTTTTGCTTTGAAGTGTGATTTTTTTAAAAAAATGTGCCCACTATTATTAGTAGACTGATTGATATTACATTGTATTAAGGATTTCTAGGGCCTGTACAGAAACATTTCTAAAATGAATATTCCGGAAAACATATGTTGTCCAAGATTGCCACCTGGTGGGGCTTATTAGAATTTCATAGAAACTAATTTATGATTCTACACTCATGTATTTCCGATTACTATGCATGAGTGTGAAAAGCTGGGCAGTAAAAAAAAAAGCTGACAGAAAAGGGCAAATCATGCTGGGAAAGATGGAAGGCAGCAGGAAAAGAGGAAGACCAAATGCAAGATGGAGTGACTCCCTAAAAAAACCCACGGGCTTGAGTCTGCAAAAGTGGAGCAGGATGGTTGAGGACACGACATTTTGGAGAGTGTTCATTCACAGGGTCACCCTAAATCATGGGTGACTTGATGGCACATAACAACAACAATTATTTAAGAGTGAGCAACTGTGTCACCTTAAGCCTGAAGACATGAAGACTAGCAAGTTTTGTTTGGTATAAGCTTGTATATATAAAATGACTTAGCTACGTGGCCCAAAGTTTTAACAAACACAGAAAGAAGGATGAACAATGTGTTTTCTCAGTTCTTCCTATCCATCAGTGGCTGCTTCTCCTCCTACTTTAGAAGTTGGAAAAACAGGACATTTGTGAGAGTGAAAATAAAAAATGTAATTGGCTCAACTTAGAATTGGTTGATTATTTATGAGTAGTCTTAGTGAAAATTCAGGAGAAACAACTGATTCCTCTCCTGATTCATACTGCTCAAATGCTTTAGCTGTGGATTCTCTCCTTGGCAAGGGTTAGGTTAGATGAGCCCCAGGATAGATTTCAATTCTACTGTCCTAGGATTCAGTGATTGTCCTCTAGTCTGGTAGATATGTGAACAGAGCATGATCCTTTTTAAAACAAAGCACTTGGCCACATTAAGAAAACTAAAAGATTTGCCAAGTAAAGCAAAGTTATATACTACCCCATGGTGCTTAAAATACTCTCTGGGTTGTTTACAATTTAATTATGCAGGCCATACATTTTCGTTTAGTCGTTTAGTTGTGTCCGACTCTTCGTGACCCCATGGACCAGGGCACGCCAGGCCCTCCTTCCACTGCCTCCCAGAGTTGGGTCAAATTCATGGTGGTAGCTTCGATGACACTGTCCAACCATCTCATCCTCTGTCGCCCCCTTCTCCTCTTGCCTTCACATTTTCCCAACATCAGGGGCTTTTCCAGGCAGTCTTCTCTTCTCATGAAATGGCCAAACAATTGGAGCCTCAGCTTTCAAAAGCTCGGTCCAGATAAAACTTGGGTGTCGTTAATGTGCCATGAGACTCCTTGAGTGCATATACACTAGCTCATTATACCGATTTCATATCACTTTAACATTTCATCTCCATCTTACAAAATCCTGAAACTGGTAATTTGCTGAAGAACATTGACTTCTCTGCTGGAGACCTCTTAGTAGCCTTGTGTTGTGCCAGAGAATTCCGAGGACCTCACCAAACTAGGAATCTTAGGATTCCACAGGATTGGGCTATGACGCTTCTTGAGGCTTGTCCAACTGCTATAATTGCGCAGCGTAAATGCACTGCTTGTTGTTTTTGCCCCAGCAAATTAATACAGAAACTTGAGCTGAGTTTCCCATGTGGAACAAAGTTGTATAAATTACATCTGAAGAAAGTAGAGTTGCAGTTGGCATACCGGTAAATCAACTCGGAGTCAACTTGGTTTTTTTTTAATGACTCAGATTTGATGCGGGACTCGGAACTCACCCACCTCTCCCTTTTTTCTGGGGGAAAGAGCTTGTTTTTAAGAGGGATTTGGATTTGGGAGTTTGGGCTCGGGAGTTGGTACCAAAGACTTCAGACTCAGATGTGGAACTCGGACCCAAAGACTGGCCAATGCCCCTGGTGATTACATTGATGATTTGTATCAGTTTTGGCTCCAATGTATTTTAAATCGATTTTCAGTCATGTGACTTTTGTATCGCTGTGCACATTCACTTTGAAATGAAAATTATTGATATAAAGTAGGGCAGCCGTCCCGAACCTTTTTGGGACCGCGGACTGCTGAGCCTCTGAGGAAGGCAGGGCACCCCCCCGTAGTTGTGTGGGTGTGCGCAGGCACATGTGAAGCGGTCGGGGAGCGCCAGCACGCCCACCAGCACCACGCCAGCACTCCCACACCCCTTCGCGCAAGTGCAGGGCGCGGGCACTCAGGCACATGCATGAAGGGGTGGGGGAGCACTCACGCCAGCGCTGGCATGCATGTCCTTGCGCAAAGCAGCTGTGGGGAGGGGAGTGCATGCGGGAGGGCAGGAGGTCTGTCTCCGCGGCCTAGTCCAGCTCAGGCCACGGACCAGCAAAGGGCCGCAGACTGGGGATTGACGATATCTGAAGCAGGGGATTAAAACTGCTTCCAGAAACTACACGAGATTTAAAATTGTTTCATTAACCAGAATGTTTGCAGTTTGTGTGGTTTCCATTGCTGCTGATCCCAGCAGATTGCCAATTATTGCAGCCTTCTCTTTCCCATTTGTTTTCAACGCTGTGTAGTATTTCTCGTTTTCAGGCATCCTTTGGAATGTGAGCATCTTTTTTAAAAAAAAAGTATGGATGACCACAAAGGCAGTATTTGAAGTAAGAATTCTACAAAGAATTAATTTAACAAGTGTGTTAAATTAAAAAGTCCCTGTCAAACACTTTTAAAAAAACTGGTGATTCCCAAAAATGTGTTGGAGACAACGCATATGGAACATGTTCAGCTTCCCCTCTTGCCATGCTCAAAGGGTCCAGGACTCACTGCAGTACAGGAGTGTGCTCA